AATGAGTACTTTGATGTAACAGTGCTGTACATTCTTGTAAAATGATTTTACAATGTATGGGTGTACTGGTAAGAGTACGAGCACGTACTAACATTGTTACCAGTGAAAAGTACCAGTAATACTCAAACCTGCTTGCTGTATTGGGAATGTAATCCTACAACCCTTTGTTCAGTGTTTAAAACCAATTTGTATTTTACTACAAGTTCTAGTTAATAGTAGTAGGAATAGTAGGAATAGTAGTACCATTAGAAAATCAGCTGAAGGGATGAATTTCCAGCATCATGATGCCAAACCATTTCAACAATACTAGTATCTTAGTACTAGTAATAGTAGTAGTAGCTTACTACCAGCAACAACAACAATGCAGTGCCACCACCAGCTAGAAGAACACCAATATCGTCAACAACAACAACAAGATGATGAGGAGGCGGAAGAGGAACTTGAAATTGTTGTTGCAATTGGTTTGCTGGTGCTGGTTGATGTGACTGCTGCTGCTACTAATAGTATGCAGAGGACAATTAATAGCTGATGCCAAGGATGATTAATTGCTGATACAACTACTAGTAGTACAGAGGATACAGAGGACAATTGTTAATTGCTGGTTCTATGGAGAACACTCCCAAATCATACAATACAAGAAGCAGTTGCTGATATGGAGGACAATTAATTGCTGATAGTACAAAGGATAGTTCCTTACAGTACAGAGAAAGATGATAGACAACAATTTTTGATAACAGTGAAGAAATCCTTGATCATAACATCTTACATACTAAATATGATGATCAACAGGAAAAGTTTGAAATTAAAGATCCCCTACTACTTGCATACAATTGTTTGGAAGACTGTAGTAAAGCCCAGGCCCAAGTCATAGTCCATGCTGACCTTTCAACAAGGTACAACTACATGAAGGAATAATTTTTTACAATTGAGAGTATCTGATCACCAGTGTAAGACCACAACCGGCTGAAATTGGGAAGGAGTTGATAGTAGCTAATGATAGATGCAGCTTCAAGGTTGGGCAATGATGCAAAAGAAGAAATGCTTTCCTCCCTCCTCTATCACCACCACCTAGTTTTTCACAACCTGAAGCAAGTGCAACCCCAGGTTGTACCTGTGCTGCAAGGAAAGTAGTATTATGGTTGGATAGTTGCACTAACAATGAGGTGAAAGGGCCTATTGCTTCTTGCTCTTGTTCTTATTTACCAGAGAATCCTTCAGTTGATAAACCATGATTCCAACCAATGTTTTTGCCTCCAAAGATTGGTTGGCAGAAGCTGCTGAATCACCACCAGGAACAAGTATGTTCCAGGATCAGTGGTGAAAGGCAAATAGAACTCCTCAAATTGTGGTTATGTCTTAGCCTGGCTTGTAGTTGTTGTACATTCCTGACAGTACATGATAATTGTTGCCACTAGCCTTGCACGTGATGGGCTTGCGAAGGAAGGAATGGTGTAGTACAAATCAAAGAAGATGTTTCAATTTATCTTTGCATTTTTGGATGAGCAAAGGTATTGGAATGGATAGGAAGGCTCCACATGATGAAGATTTTGAGCCAAAGCGGATGCCTCAGACTTCAAAGAATGAGAGAGGCCACCCTTGAAAATGTGGAATTTCTTGTTTCTTCCAGCACTATAGCTCATGAAACAAAGATAACTTTTAAGCCACATCTAAGGAAACATGTAGTGGAGAGTATAAATGGGTGAGGAGGAAGAGCAACTGTTCCTTTGTTTGTAAAAAAGAAGCAACTGAGATGCATCCTAGTAGTAATTCATCCTTGAAGGAACAAAGAGAGTCATCTCCAGCAGGGACTGGTATGAGTTGTACTACTATGTCAAAGAACAGTTGCAGAAGTTGTATGATTGCTACTGTGTATCAAGATTGTTGAAATAACTTTAACATCATCGGGTACAATGCATTTCAACACTGAGTAATGATTTTTTTTTGCAACTGGTGTGCAGTGCCATGTGAATATACTTCTCAAAACTTAGAGCAGCTGATGAGATCAAAAATAATGGGAACYACTACTACTGCTAGTACTAGGAGTACTAAAAGTAGAATTAGTAGTATTAAAGAGATGGGATATCATCATATCACCAAGAAAAATACTCTTTTATTTCTAATGGTAATGACCAAGAAGTGAAGAGAACAAGTTTTGCATATGTTACTTTCTTGTAATGAAACATTTTTTGGCGCAATATGCTGCTCATTGCTTCAGACATTCTCCCCAAAAGTTACTTTGGTTGTTTGTTGTTCTTGTTCTTCTCACCACCACCAAGAAGTGAAAAAATAGTGATAAATGATGGGACATCAATATTCTTTGCTATTGGTAGTAGGAGACAAAATTGTATTCCTAAAGGATCTCTTTCTGAAAGTTAGTAGTCTTTAGCTACTTCCCACCACAAGAACAACTCATTCCTCTCCTGTGTAGTAACACTTGTTTCCTACTAATGATAAAAATGAGTATTATCAGGTCACTACTACTACTGCTGCTACTACTACTACTACTACTACTACTACTACTACTACTACTACTACTACTACTACTACTACTATGGTTTGCTTTCCCAACAAGCAGCAATCTTGTGGATGACAAGATAAAATGGTACTACTACTGCTTGCACCCCTACTACTAATGTTTTTGGTATTACTATGACATTACGTACTAGTAGTAGATAGTGGTGCTACTATCACCAGCTTGAATTAGGCTATTGCTCCAGTTTCTGTAACTGAAGATTTTCCTGTGTTAACAGTAGTAACATGATCACTACTACTGCAGTAATAAGAATACAGGATATCATTGCTGTCTAGGCAGTGGTGAAATCACACTAGTAGTACTAGCTGGGTGAAATCACACTACTAGTAGTACTAGCTGGTAGTAGTACTGCTAGTATCAGTAAATGGCGAAGTGGGTATGACACCCCCACGTACTACTAGAATTCCTMTTTACAACAACAAAGAATTAGAAAAGCAAGGATGAGTAACAGCAGCAACAACAATGAGAACAATCAGAGGTGCCGCTAGCAGCAGTAGCTAGTAGTGATCCTGGTAAAACTTCTTCATTTACACACCCATAGTAGCAATGTCATTAGTACTAGTATGTCACAAAAAGTGTTTGCAAGGTTTGGTCGCAACCCCACACATGTAATTTTTGTGCAACCACTTGCTTAACACAGGGAAGTCATGATTATCAAGCTTACTGAGGACCCCCTTTTTGTAATTATTTTTGGGACATAATGTGCTTCACTCTTTGCACCAAATTTATTCTACTTCTTTAATCCAATACTTGCTCAACAACTGCTTAGTAATATTTTTTCTTTGGGGGATTGTGATACACAACCTCATGACAAGACTTAACCTCCAACAAAGACTCTTGGAATCAAAATTCTTGATTTGCACATGTACATAGTATTACTCTCAAATAACCTTGGTTCACTACCCTATAATTTTGAATTTATGAACAGTCCCCACTGTTCCCATGATTGGATTGTTTTGGGCACACTCAACTGGCTCATTGTTTAGGTTTCTGAACCTTTCTCAAACAGAAA